ATTTAATTTTTGACAACTTCCAATTTTCCCAGATTCATACTTCATACATTCCATGATCCAATTTTCAATGGATGTTTACAGCTATTTCTCTTCATTTTGAGTTGTGCCCCATCAGCAAATGAAGGTCCCTTGGGCTTTTCTCCCACAGGCTTTACTCCATTCGTGTCATCAGGTTCAACTCAACTTTGAGGAGGCAGCTCTTCCCAATCGCATTTTGAGTGCCTTTCAACCTGAGGGGCTCATTTTCTGGCACTATATCTGACAGTGTTTCTCTGCTATTCATAAGGTTTTCAGTGACTAAATATTCTGAAGTAGTTCATCACTCCTTCTTCCCAGTCTGTCTTCATCTGGAAGGTCATCTGAAACCTCTCCACCATGGGTAACCCTGCTGGTATTTAAAATACTGGTGGCATAGCTTTCAAAATCACTGAAACTCACAAGCCACCACAGTACAACACACTGACAGACAAGTGGTTGCCATATACATATAGTTATAGATAAAATACAGACAACATATAGCAATATTACAATGGATAGAATGCAGAAGCAGTATGGAGACACCTGCTGTTTACTATTAAGACAACCACTAGCTAGATTTGAAAACAATATCACTCTGTTTTCAAATTTTATATTGGAAACAGTATTTTTCATTCCACCACTTGTCTCTCAGTTTGTCATACTGTGGTGACTTCCATATTGCTGTAATGTTGGAAACTATGCCACCAGGATTTTAAATACCAGCAGGGTAAACCATGGTGGACAGGTTTCAGCTGAACTTCCCGACTAAGACTAGGACGTAGACTACTTTTGAATGTTTGTTGTTGTTGTTACGTGCCATTGAGTCAGTTTTGACTCATAGCAACCCTGTACAGGGTTTCCGAGGAGCAACTTGTGGGTGAGCTTGTACTGGTGACCTTGCGGTTCAAATTGACTTTGTAGTCCTGCATATGGACTCGCAGCACCACACCAGGACTCTGAATGTTTAGGCACTGAAAACCTCCTGAATAGCCGTGGAACACTGTCAGATACAATGTCAGAAGATGAGCCCCTCAGGTTATAAGGCACTCAAAATATGACTGGAAATGAGTTACCTCCTCAAAGTAGAGTTGACCACAATGACTTGAGTGGAGTAAAGTTTTCGAGACCTTCATTTGCTGATGGGGCACAATTCAAAATGAGAAGAAACAACTGTAAATATCCATTAATAATCTGAACATGGAATTTATGAAGTATTAATCTAGGAAAACTGCAATATGTCAAAAATAAATTCAACACATAAAGATCAATATCTTACTCATTTAGTGAGCTGAAATGGACTGGTGTTGGCCATTTTGAATTATACCAGAAACAACAAGAGGAATGGCATCACATTTGTCGAAAAGAGTATTTCAAGATCTATCTTGAAGTACAATTCTGTCTGTGGTAGGATAATATCCATATGCCAACAAGGAAAACCAGCTAATACCACTATTATTCAAATTTATACATCAACCACTAAAGTCAGTAATGATAAAATTGAAGAATTCCAGTCTGAAATTGATGAAACATGCAGTCTAGATTTATTGATAATTGCTGGTGATTGGAATGCAAAGGTTAGAAACAAAGGAGAAGTATCAGTAGTTGGAAAGTATGACCTTGGTGACAGAAATGATGCTGAAGATTGCATGATAGACTTTTCCTTTTTTAAACACACATGGACCTAACCAAATGGCATACACAGGAATCGAATTGACTAGGAATAGGTGGTAGAAAAACTCAATATCATTAGTCAAAACAAGGCTAGGCGCAGAATGTGGAACAGACCCTCAATTACTCATATGCAAGTTTAAGCTGAATCTGAAGAAAAAAAATTTTTAAATTCATGAGCATCAAAATATGACCTTGAACATTTTTGTTGTTGTTAGGTCCTTATCCCACCTGAATTTAAAAACCATCTGAAGAACAGATTTGATGCATTAGATGCTAATGACCAAAGACCAGGAGAGCTGTGGGATGACATAAGACTATTATACATGAAGAAAGCAAATAGTCATAAAAGAGACAGGAAAGAAAGAAAAGACCAAGATGGTTGTCAGTACAGACTCTGAAACTTGCCCTCCAGTGTAGAAATGTTAAAGCAAAAGGACTCAAAATGAAGAAGTAAAAGAGATGAACAGAAAATTTCAAATGGGAGCTCAAGAAGACAAAGGCAAGTATTATAACGATATGCACAAAGATCTGGAGATAGAAAACCAAAAGGGAAGAACACACTCAGCATTTCTCAAGTCCAAAGAACTGAAGCAAAAATTCAAGCCTAGACTTGTAATACTGATGAATTCTGTAGGATAAATATTGAATGATGCCAAAAGCATCAAAAGAAGATGGAAGGTGTAAACAGAGTCATTTTACCAAAAAGAAATGGTTGATGTTCAACCGTTGGCAAAAAAAAAGCTCCAGGAATTGCCAGAATACACATTGAAATCTTTCAGTAAACTGATTCAGCACTGGAAGTGCTCACTCATCTATGCCACGAAACTTGGAAGACCTGACCAACAGATTGAGAGAGATCCATATTTTTGCCCATTCCAAAGAAGGTGACTCATGGATTGTTGAAATCATTTGACAATATCATTAATATTACATGCAAGAAAATTTTTGCTGAAGATAATTTAAAAACAGTTGCAACAGTACATTGGCAAGGAACTTCCAGAAACTCAAAGTGGATTCAGAAGAGGACATGGAACTAGGGATACATTGCTGATATCAGATGGATTTTGGCTGAAAGCAGAGAATACCAAAAAGATAAGTGTGCTTTATTGACTATTCAAAGGTTTTTCATGACAAGCCATGGATAACATTGCCAAGAATGGGGATTCCAGAACACTTAATTGTGCTCATGAGGAAACTGTACAGAGACCAAATGCAGTGGATTGAACAGAACAAGGGAATAATGAATGGTTTAAAATCAAGAAAGGTGTACACAAGGTTTATGTTCTCTCACTATACTTATTCTGTCTGTACACTGAGCAGATAATCAGAATTGGAGGAAAACACATTAACAACCTGCTCTATGCAGATACAACCTTGTTTCTTGAAAGTCAAGAGGACTTTGAATACTTACTAATGAATAAAGATCAAAGACTACAGCCTTCAGTATGAATTGCACCTTAATCCAAAGAAAACAAAAATCTTCACAACTGGACCAATAAATAACATCATGATAAATGGAGAAAAGATTAAATTTGTGAGACTTCAATTTGGTTGGGTCCACAATCAACATTCATGTAAACAGCAGGCAAGAAATCAAAGGATGTATTGCTTTTGGCAAATATGCTGCAGAAGACCTCTTTCGAGTGTTCAAGAGTAGATATCCGTTTGAGGACTAAGGTATGCCTGACCCAAGCCATGATATTTTCAATTGCCTCATATGCATGTGAAAGTTGGACAGTGAATAAGGAAGACCACAGAAGAACTGATGCGCTTGAGTTATGGTGTTGGAGGAAAAAGTACCATGGACTGCCAGAAGAACAAATAAATCTGTACAGGAAAACGTTCAGAAAGAATGCTCCTTAGAAGCCAGGCTGGCCAGACTTTGTTTCTCATATTTCGCACATGTTGTCAGGGGACTAGTCCCTGGAGGAAGACATCATGCTTGGTAAAGTGGAGGGTCCGTGAAAAAGTGCAAGGCGCCAATGAGATGGATTAGCACAGTGGCAGCAGCAATGGACCAAATCATAACACTTGTGAGGAAGGCGCAGGACAACGCAGTGTTTTGTTTTGCTGTGCATAACAGTGTTGCTATGGTCGGAAATGACTCGATGGTTTCTAATAAAAACATTTTTTACTAAAATATAATTTGTGTAATTAGTTTATTTTAAATGGATTTTCAAAAATCAGTTATCATTTCTAACACAGAATATATAAATAGATCATTCATATAAGCAAAAACTCTTTGGGATATTCAGTTGTTTAAGAGTTTTGTACAGGAGTGCTGAGGACAAAAAGTTTGAGAATTCTATTTTAGAATAATGTTTATAACGATGGAGTCTAACTTTCTAAATGTCGTTTGGTGCAGTTGAGTCAGTTCTGCCTCATAGCCACCCTGGGTATGGTAGCTGGTGAGTTTGAAATGACTTTGTGGCTAGTAAACCACTGCTTATCCTACAGCACCACATCAGGACAGATCAGAATCTACCTGGGCCTCATCTGTGCTCCACACTGCAGGGGAAAAGACAAGGCCGTGCGAGGGACGTGTTAAGGTTGAGTGGGGGTAGCGGAGGCAAGTCTGTATCTCTTGAGTCCCTGAAAACCACCTTTCCGTTGTTGTCTCACAGACCTTGTCCTCAGTTTTCCCCCACCAGATTTGAACAATTGCAGGCAGTGGGCGGGCCAATGGTATAAGGGCGGGGCGTATTTTCATACTGGGGCCAATTCGCGTGAACGTGCTTACGTCACTCCCGCTGCCCTGACGTCCTTCCTTTGCATCTCTCTCAGTAGCCGCAGTATCTGGGGTTGCCGCTCCAAGCAAAACACGGGCGTCCTACGTTTCTGCGCCTATTCCTCCAGTCTTGGCCCGGTGCTGCCCGGCGCATTAGTGCAGCCATCATGGATCTGAATTTAAACCGAGCGGATTATTTACAGGTGAATCTCAAGGGGTGGAGTGGGGCGAGTGGCGCTGAGGAATGACTTGTCTGTCTGGGTCTCCTTTGGGTGCTGGCACTGGTACTTAGCTCGGCTGGGTACCGCCCTTCTGTTGATGCTGGTAGGTCCTGTTGTGTATGATGGCCCCACCAGGACGGAATGTGTTTGCACACGCCCCCGAGGAGCTTGTGCCTGCTAAAGGCGCTTGGAAATGCTCCTGAAGCATCCGGTACCCGGATTTCGCCTTAGTGCCCTTCTCCATGGCTGCAGGTACCTGTAGGCCTGTAGCTCAGGAATCTCCATCTCTACCTGGTACTTCTCTCGAGACCCAGACTTTTGTTCCTCACTTTGAGCTAGACCCCACCAGCCAGATCATAATGAATGCAATGACCACATATTATTGAGCATCTAGTTTATTTACAGAGTTTAACATCCATAAACAGTTGTTGTTAGGTGTCAATGGCTCTGACTCATAGCAACCCTATACACAGAAGGAACAAAACACTGACGGATTCTGTGCCGTCCTCACACTATTATATTTGAGTCCATTGTTGGAGCCACTGTATTAATCCAAACCGTTGGGGGAGGAGCCTTATATTTTGGCTGACTACTGCACTCCTGGTGTGGCGCTGTAGGATCAGCACTGGACTTTGAACCACAAGTCTGACAGTTCAAACCTACCAGCTGCTCCTCAGAAGCTCTATATAAGGTCTCTGAGTTCAACTACTCCAAGGCATTTAGCAACAACAACTCCTTTAAACAGCATGATGTCCTCCAGGGACTGGCCCCTCCTGACATGTCCAAAATACAGAAGACGAAAACTCTCCATCCTTGCTTCTAAGAAACCGTCAGGCTATACTTCTAACAACATTAGATTTAATTTTTCCTGCAGTCCCTCAGGCTTTCAATATTCTTTGTCAGCATTTTAATTGAAATGCATCAATTCTTCTCATCTTCCTTATTCATTATGCTTTCACAAACATATTGAGGGATGACCATGGCTTGGATCAGACAGACCTTAGCCCTCAAAGTGGCATCTTTGCTCTTTAACACTTTTAAGAGGTTTTTTTTGGCAGAAGATAAATTCTCATGAAAATGACTAATCCTCATAAAAATTCCGAAAATGTATAATCTTACAGGTAAGGATCCAGGGTCTCAGAGAAGGTAAGCAGTTTTCTTGAAACTGACCAACCAACGCATCTTCATATTAACCCTAAAGAACAAAGTAGAACGGCCCCATGGGGTTTCCAAGGCTATGAATCTCTGTGAAAGCAGACTATCACAGCTTTCTCTTACCTGCTGGCTGGTGGGTCCCAACTGACCTTTTGTTAGCAGGCACTTTAGCCACTGTGCACCAGGACTCTTGAAATTTGATTAATAGCTAAAAATTATGGAGACTTACTATTTGAAACAAAGTCTTGGATTCCACAGTTAATGTTTTTTCTCTTATACCACATTGCCTCTCAGGATTTCTTTCAGCTGTGTCAAAGAAACAAACTTAGAATTGAGTTCCTTTTCTCCCTCTTTCCCAGTCATTCTATTTAGGTTAACAATACAAATGTTTGTCCAGTCAACCCTAAAGTTAGAAATTTGGGCATCATGCTAGGTACTCCCACTTTAATACCTTCCACATTCAACTGACCATTGTATCTTCTTTCTTTTCTCTCCCAAATAGTCCTTCAGTCTGCCCCATTCCATCCCTGTCTATTATTCCCAGTTCAGGTTCTCATTTTCTCTTGCTTAGGTAATTGAAATAGCCTTCTGATTGGGTTCCTGACCTCCAGCTTCACATCCCTCTAAGCCATATTTTATATCATTTGCTAGATTGATTTCTGAAAATCCAAATCCAAACAGGCTGCTACTTTAAATATAATAACATTCCCTGGAAAACAGAATAAAATCATGGATTTATGTTACATGCAATTTCTTTTATGATCTTTTTTCTCCAACTTCTCTCTCATTAGCCCCATCCTCACCAAAGTAGGTACCACTGGTGACAGTTCCCAGCTGAACAAGCCATGTTTTCATCCTTCCTACCTTATGTAAGGAATCCTGGGCTGATGCTGCAGGATAGAGTGCTGGATAGCAACATCAGTTTGAACCGCAAGGTCAATAGTTCAAACTGAGCAGCTGCTCCTTGGAAATCCTATATAGGGGTCATTATGAGTCAGAACTGACTCAATGGCACTTAACAACAACCACCTTATGTAAAATAATCTTTATGTAAGCTAGATTGGATGTTATGCCATCAGCATGTTCGGTACTTTTGTTAAATATATTCTATTTCATTTTTTCCAAAAATTTTAAATCGCTTTACCAAACTCTTTAGTTGAAATTGTAAAAGACAACTTCTAAAAGTATATATCTTTTTGTGAGGCACCTTACCAGTAATGCAACATAATTGTTTTTGGGTTGACAACTTTACAAGATCAATTTTATTATTTTTGGTTATTTCCCATAATCTCACTCATGTGGCATATTTTATTAGAAAATAAGTTTGTCACTCATAATAGTAATTATTTCATATCACAAATTGAATAAAAGAGAGTCACCATGATAGTAAACTGCTGATTCCATCTCTGATGTAATAACTTCAAATTACAGTGTATAGGAAAACATTTACCAAGTGTTGGTGTGTTTTCTTAGGTGGGAGTAACCTCTCAGAAGACTATGAAGCTACTTCCTGCCTCAAAACATAGAGCTACACAAAAGGTACTGTATAGATGCTGTTTTACAGTGGGAGATTTCTTTCATCATTGGTAAGTTACTCTTTTAAAAATGCTAATGATAAATTGGAAATTAACTTCTTTTTATTTGAACAGAGGTTGAAGTACCTAATGACATTTATATATGATAATTTTCTTGTATATTATAATTATTATGTATCATTAGTACATCATTTAAGTAAACCAGTAAAAACCCACATTCCATTTTTTCCTGGTAATAATTCACTCTGTGTGTACCAGATTGTATATGTGAAAAAGGAAACAAAAAACACAATAGGATATGAAGAAAATGATCTCTTTAACCTTCCTCATATTAAGAGGAATTGAGATTTTTTTAATTGAATAATTGAATACAGACATTTGTATTTAACTGACAATGTTATTTTTGCATGTGAAAACCTTTTCTTGACTTTTTATAATGTGGTGTCATAAAATAGCTGTCCTTTGTGATCAACTTATTTCACTCAGCATAATTTTTAAGAAAAAACAATTGTATTTTCCAAAATAAAATTTAGCAAGAACATGGTATTGCTGTATATGCACATCTCCTTAATGACTCGTATAAGAGAAGGCAGCTGAATTCTCACATCTGTTTTCTATATTCAGTTTGTTGTGATATGTAGTTTTGGTTGAAGTATTGGAAGAAAATCTGACTCATGTAGACACATAGTTGAAAAAAAGCGCAAGTATTTAAATAACTTGCCCAGGTAATTATAGTTTTCTTTATTTGCTACTACTCCTGACTTAATAAGCAGTAGTTTCTTTCTTTTTTTTTATTTTTATTTTAACTTTTTATTGTTAATTGAGTGAAGGTTTACAGATAAGATCACCACTTTTACATTCAACAAATCATACACTTTGGTTCATCTCAATGATAGCAATCCCCTCCATGAAACAACAGTTATTCCACTTCCTCCCTGTGTTTACCCATGTACAAATATCCTCTTTCAGACTCTGATAATTTTGTGGGGATATAAATACATATACATATATATCCCATTCTTCCTCCCATACCCATACAGTCTGTGTCTCTCTGTTCATGTGTCTACACGCAGAACACTGTTGTTCCAAGGTTATGTATATGTTACTATTTACCTCTCTTGCCTTTAAGGGGAGAAGGATGGAGCTTTCTGCTCCTGTAAAGATTTATAGCCTCAGAAACCCTATATGGTGTCGCTATGAGTCAGAACCGATTCCACGGCACGAAACTAGCCAACCTTTAGCCCTTGCATACCTCCCTGTGTCTTCACCTGTTTTCATCATTCTTCTGCTAATCTCTTTCTTCTTGTATATTTTCCACCCCATCACATGAGTTAACATGTGTCCACCCTCTAGCCAGTGAATTACTCTCCCCTCTTCCCAACCCAGTAACCATCAATATCTTGTTTCTTTTAGTATGAAAACCTTTTCTTGAGTTTTAACAATAGTGGTTTCATACAATATTTATCGTTTTGTGATTTACTTATTTCACTCAGTATAATGTCCTCTAGGCTCATCCATGTTTTGAGATGTTTCATAGATTTATTATTATTCTTCAACATTGCACAGCATTTCATTGTGTGTATGTACCAAAGTTTGTTTATTCATTGATGGACATTTAAGCTATCTCCATCTTTTTGCTATTGTGAATAGTGCTGTGATGAACATCAGTGTACACATATCTACTCATGTCCTGCTCTTATTTCTTGTGGATATAGGACAAGTAGAGGGATTACTAAAGAGCTCTGGTAGCATAGCGGATTATGACCTGATGTGCTAACTGAAAGGTCAGCAGATCAAATCTTCCAGCCACGCTGTGGAAGAAAGATGAGGTTTTTTGCTCCTGTAAAGATTTACAGCCTCAGAACACCTATGCAGGGTCACTCTGAGCTGGAACCGACTCCATACCACATCACCACCACTACCCAGAGAGATTACTGGATCATATGATATTTCTATAGCAACCCTATGCATATATTTCCATATTGGCTACCTAAATGTATTCTTTGATGAAATGTCTGTTCATGCCCTGTGCCCATTTTTTAATTGGGTTGTTTGTCATTTTCTTGTAGAGGTGTAGTATTCTATAAATTTTAGAGATTAGACACTTGTCTAATAAATTGTTGCAAAAAACTTTTTCCCAGTCTGTGGGCTCCCTTTTTACTCTTTTGGCAAAATCTTTTGTGCACTTAAGTGTCTAAGTTTTCGGAGGTCCAGTCATCTATTTTGTCTTCTGTTGTTTGTGTGTTTTTAGCAATGTTTGGTAGTGTATTAGGCCAGGTATTAGAGCCACTAAGTTGATCCCTATTTTTTCATTGATGATGGCTGCGAACCTTAAGGTCAGCAGTTCAAAACTACCAGCTGTTCCATGGGAGAAAGATGAGGCTTTCTGCTCCTGTAAAGATTTACAGCCTTGGAAACTCTGTATAGGGTCGCTGTGAGTCAGAACCGACTCCACAGCACATAACCACTGTAACCATCAGGCTTTATATTTAGGTCTTTAATCCACATTATGTTTGTTTTTGTGTATGATATGATGGCGTGAGATATGGGTCTTGTTTCATTCTTCTACAAATAGATTTCCAGTTCTATCAGCGCCATTTGTTGAAGAGATTCTCTCTTTCCCTTTTAATATGTTCTGGTGCTTTGTCAAAGATTAGCTGACTGTATGTGGATGTAATTACTTTTGGGTTCTCAATTCTGTTTCATGTATCTCTATATCTTGCTTTGTACCAGTACCAAGCTGTTTTGACCACTGTGACTGTGTAGTACATTTTTAGATTAGGAAGTCAGAGACATCCAATTTTGTTCTTCTTAAGCAGTGCTTTGCTTATCCAAAGTCTCTCCCCTTTCCATATACATTTAGTGATCATTATTTTCCATCTCTTTAAAGAATGATGTTGGAATCTGGATTGAGATTGTGTTATATCTATAGATAAGCAGTCGTTTCTTAAAAGTTTAGGTGCAATGTGGAGTCTGAAAACATGTTGATGAACTTTTCATATCATCTGTTGTTACATTAAAATTCACCAGCCAGTCTTGTACTCTGAGTGAATTTTTTACACATGCAGATTTTATTGCATTTTGCCAATAGTGATTTGAGATTATTGGTTCATGGAGTTATATAGATTTTCCAAGTGTTGACATATTCCATTATAGAATATGTTTTTAAAAGATATTTGTTAATATAACTACTGATGTTATTAAGTATTGAGAAACTGTCAGATCTCAACAGCAGACAAAATCTTCCCAAATACAGATTTTCACTTGAAATTTCATATCTGCCCTTTGAAGTGACAGGTTAATTTCTTTATTTCAAGATAATGTCTGTAAGTACCCAAGTGTTAATAACTACAGTTGTTAGTTGTTATTTTAAGTTAAAATAATGTTTCTTGAAAAAAGTTCAACTCATAACTGAAAGTTACAATCCTTGAGGGTTATTTCAGTATGTACCAGAAGTGCTTTGTGCTAATTTCCTGTTCCATCATACTAAATATTAAAAAGACAAAGGCTTAATAAATTTAATATTTTTTACTATTTCATTGTTGCTGCTGTTGGTAAGTGCTGCTGAGTCAGTTTGGACTCATGCTGACCCTATATAGGGTTTTCTAGGAGCATGCCTGGTGTGTACGAAGCACCAACTTTATAGTTAGCAGTCTATTGCTTATCCTTCAGCACAACTTTTATGTGAAACTGGCCTTTTTTTAAATCTTATTTTTCACAATCAAGTAGTGATGAAAATTTTGCTAAAGATAATTTAAAAATGGCTGCTAGAGTATATTGACAGGGAACTGCCAGAGGTTCAAGCTGGATTCAAACGAGGATGTGGAACAAGGGATATCATTATGGATGTCACATAGATCTTGGCTGAAAGCAGAGAATACCAGAAAAATATTTACCTGTGTTTTATTGACTATGCAAAGGCTTTCAACAGTGTGAATCATGACAAGCTATGGACCACATTGCGTAGAATGGGTATTCCGGAACACTTAATTGTGCTCATGAAGAATTTATACATAGACTAAGAGGCAATTGAGCAGAACAAGGGAACACTGAATGGTTTAAAATCAGGAAAAGTGTGCGCCAGGGTTTTATTCTTTTACCATATTTATTCAGTGTACGTGCTAAGCAAATAATCCAAGAAGCTGGATTATATGAAGAAAAATGTGACATAAGGACTGGAGGAAGATTCATTAACCACCTGCGATATGCAACTGATACTACTTTGTTTGCTGAAAGCAAAGAGGGCTTAAAGTACTTATTAATGAAGATTATAGACCACAGCCTTCAGTATGGGTTGCATCTCAATGTAAAGAAAACAAAAATCCTTACCACTGGACCAATAAATAATATCACGATAAATAGATAAAATTTTGAAGTTGTCAGGGACTTCTTTTTGCTTGCATCCACTACCAACACTCATGGAAACAGCAGTCAAGAAATCAAACAATGTATTTCATTATGCAAATCTGCTGCACAAATCCTCTTTTAAGTGTTCAAGAGCAAAAATACCGGTTTGACGACTAAGGTGCATCTGATCTAAGCCATGGTAATTTCTGTTGCCTCATCTGCATTTGAAAGTTGGACAATGAATAAGAAGACCTTAGAAGAATTGATGCAATTCAGTTATGATGTTGGAGAAGAATATTAAAAGTGCCATGGTCTTCCACGAGAACAAACAAATTTTATGTTGGAAGAAGTACAACCAGAATGCTCCTTAGAAGCCAGGATGGTCAGACTTCATATCTCACACTTAAGACATATTATCAGGAGGGACCAGTCCCTTGAGATGGACATCATGTTTGGAGCGTCAGCAGAAAAGAGGAAGACCCCCAATGAAATGGATTGTCACAGTGGTAGCAGCAATGGACTCAAACATATCAATGACTGTGAGGATGGTGGAGGACCAGGCAATGTTTTATTCTGTTGTGCTTAAGGTCTCTATGAGTCGGAATTGGCTAGATGACACCTAACAACAGTGAGTAATAAAAAATATAATGGCCACTG